CATATTTACGGTAGTTGGTAAAAGTCTCAAGGTCTGAATTTTTATACCTTTGTCTGAATGCAACAACCTCTTCTATTTCAGGATTTAACAGGAGACGCGTTCCGTACATGACATTCTGCAAATTTATATTTCCTGCAAATATTCCACACGGGTAGTTTTAAATTAAAATTAACACAAAAGATGACGATAAGGTTTCCATAAAATAATCAACATAATGTTTTTAGTATATAACCATTTGTAGTACCTTGATACGTTTTCACCTTTGCATACTGAATCACAATGATCGCATTTTCCAATGGTTGTCTCCCAAAGAAGCTTTTGATCTTGTCAACGTACTCCCCAAACAGTGTTATATCTAACGTCACCCTGAATCACCAAGTAAAAAGAATAGAATAAATCAATCTTGTATAGATGTTATATTCATATTGTCGTTGCTACAAAGTCATGATAAAATAAAGTACCCATCCGCTTCTAACTGAATCACAATCATCTTTGTCCTTTTGGACTCTTTAACAATTTCTTTTTGCTTGCCCACAGCAGTTAGGACCCCCATAGTGTCTGATAAAAGAAAAAATGTGAGATATAATCATAAACTTATTGGAGTAAATTAAATTTTGCATAAGTGAGTGATTTATTACCAACTAAATACGGGTAGTTTGAGTCTGCCTGCAATATTTCTGAAATAGTAGTCAACTTAAGACCATGCACAGGTATTCTCTCACAGCTACATGCAGTTACAATGGTTCTTGGTTGGAAATTCAGCCTGAACTCATGTCAAGAGGTCCGATAATTTCCACTACTAATGCCGATGCCAAAATAGGCAAAGACATACACAGACCCTTCCTTTATTCGCTTCTCAAAAGTTCCAACCAAACTTCTTCGGACAGTGGCATGTATTGTAGTTCCCTACATTTGTTTGTTCAAATTAAACATCATAAAAAATCAGCAACAACATATCCTCTTAGGAAACAACAATAAATCTGAATATAATTTAAAAAAACAACAAAACATCTGAATCATACACTAAGCAAACATAGTAGAAGCAAACTGATAGTAGAGACTGCTTAGTGTCTGTATAATAATACACGAAGCATTCATTCTTCTATAAGAGGGCACCAAGTATAGCACAATGCATTTAGCAGAACTACTGGCCAGACTGCATTCTTATGAAAAACATTGTTTGCCATATTTAAGGTGTGAGTGCATTCTATATTTGGCACAAGAAAGCCACAAACAGTAGCCTACATAAGCCATTGTTCTGCTATCATGTCACTCTATGTCAATTGTATATCACTAATTTCTGCTAATTTAATGGTGGTTGTTTTTCTTTCTTTATAATAGTACTTCATGAGTTGATATGCACTGTTCTTTTTAACATGTTAAGCAACTAAATGATTTTAGTACTTTATAA